CTGAATCGACGCGTTTTTCAACGAGGAACAACTTTTTCCTCAGACAAAATCGTCGCTCTGCCCTGCGAAGCGAGATATTAATTGTTAAAGTTGACAACTTTTAGAGTTAGGAAATCTGTCATACCGACGAAATGTATACTGAAGTCACAGTTTCCTCGAAATTTCATGTCTAGAGTCACAGTTTGCGTATTTCTGTATAGCAGTATATTCTTGGGTGCGTTAATAGTCTAAAACTTGGTCAATTATCTGCTTTACAGAACAGTCTAAAGACTCGAAACCCATCTAGTGTCACAGTTTGCATTAAATTTCATGTCTAGAGTCACAGTTTTATATGAAATGACTCGGGAAGACATCCCCAACAACATATTTAAAAATGAAGCAAATCGGAGAGGAGGCCCCTTTTATGCATAATTACCTTACTTCCTTTTTTATATAAAAAAATATTTAATGCTGAGTTATGTATGTTTGCAGATTACTTGAAAAGGTTTCCAATCTCGGACCGAAACGTCGTTTTAAAAAAACTACATATCATTAAATAGTAGCTTTGTTGTGTATTTATTTAAGTTGCTGTAAACCTTAATTGCACATACGTTTCGCATATAATTACTTATGCTGAAACCGTGCCCCCAAATTTCCGTGCGGTTGCAAGACAATTTTTTGAGGTTTCCCTTGGCGCTGCTTCGTAATCGCGCGTAACTGCTCGCGAAAAGTTGTACCGCGTCATAAGCGAGCGCTGCTTCCACCCTTAAGTGGGAACCGTCCGTTAAATTCCAATTAAGAGATCGGGACTTGAGGGTACGTCGAACAATTGGGCTTTCCGGGTCGACTAAACGCAGGCCCGTCAAATTCACTCCGGAGTATTGGTACGGTTCTAAGTTTAGGGTTTGCAAGTCCTAATAATAAAAAACACGCATCACATGCTATTGTCGGTGGAGGTATTTACAAATCAGATAAAAGAGAAAAGAAGTAATCTAGTATTTTGAGTACATACGATTTTTCTTTATAAATTTGTGTCTAAAATCTTTTTATATTAAGGTGTTTGATTTTTCTACAATTACATCCTCTGCGACAATTGAGTCAATTAAACGAAATATTAGAGATTATGAAAGAATTCAACATACCAAAGAAGCAATAATCACTTTATAACTTTCCGACATTATTCCGACTTGTTGTGCTTGTCTGAGAACGGACTCAAGGATATCGTACGAACAGTCGATTATGAGATTTCTATATCCGGACATCTTGACTTCTTTCATGGCCTGTCTGCAAGTAAATTGTCTCGTTAATCTTTGAACAGTTTGCATCTTGAAAAGAAATCTCACGGCGACATGTGTGGCTGCGGGAATGACGTTCACTTCATATCCAGACAGTCGTATCGTAAATCATCGCGATATTTCCTGGCGTTTACGGCGGGGTTAAATAATGGCACAGGTGCATAATAACTTTGTTTGACAAACGTCGCTCGCGCATGCACGCAGGCTCATACGAGGGACAATCTATTTATATGGGTTCACGAATGCATACCTAAAATTTGGTCCACTACCTAAATGAAACACCATCGCGAAAATAGTATTCATGTTTGGTAACTTGAGCAGGCGGTTCATGCGCATCAGGCTATCCGCGTTGTCGTAAAGTATTGCATATTCGTTCCATTTGTATTCTTCAAGTAGGTTTTGAAAAACCTAAGCAATTTCAGAAATTAATCTTGAAGAACGTAAATATGATCGATCATCATCGGCAATAATTATCGAGATTTATTGAGTAAATGATTTTAATTTGTTTTGTTCTCTCAATACTGGCTCAATTATTTTCGGTTGACGAATTCAACCGGCAGAGAATGAACAATGCTTGCGAATAATCAAAATAAAATTTGGAGTGATATTTATCTGAACATTCGGATCAGTATTTGAACATTTTTATAAACAATGCAATTTTTTATTTTGGCTTAAATACCAGTTTAATTTTATGTTTTAGTAAAAATATTTAAGCCAAGTTAAATGTAATTGTGTTACTCACAGATTGTTTGTGAGTTTAAGGCAATTTGTTCCTAAATTGCTAAATAAATAATAATAAATACCATGGAGAGCGCATCGGGATGCGGATATAGATTTATGACATTGCCACGTTGTGGTTCGGAATCCCATCTGGCAGTAATGTGAGGTATGTCCAGGGTATCGCACATACTTTGAACGTAGCTCGCCGTCGATTTGTCTTGGGGACCAAATATTCCGGCCACCCCGTTGCTTATCAGCTCGCACGCTGCATGCAGTGTCCAAAAAGTACATAATGTGAATTTAGTAAATATATTCAAAAAATGACGCAGGAAAGATGCCTACGAGTGAATATAAAGTTGTTGTTCGAGAGGACGAGACACCAGTTGAGAAAACATGAAAGACATTTTAATGCTCCAACTGTTAATGAGGTTGCAATTTTCATGGTTGGGAGTGAATTCGAGAGGCGTGATATAATTATTCAAAAACGGAGTGAAATAAAAAATGCAACGTCCAAAAAAGGGAGACCCGAGCGAAGCCGGCCAAGCGTGCTAGTTATTTATATTAACAATCGTGCACTTACGAATAAATTGAAGCATCTATCTGTGTACACTATATCTACATATACTGTGAGATTTGCAAAATTGACTTTTAATTTTGTAAATACATTCATATAATATGTGAATACACTGAAAAAATGCTTTAATTGCATCAACAAGACGTGTATGACAGAATGTGTTTTGGTTAAACCAAACAGATTTCCAGTTATCACGATAGGGCTCGATATTTCATAACCAGAAGTTTGATAGACTTCGCTATACATCTAGTAAATCCTAAAGGAATTTTGATTCGTCCATTTTCTAACAGACGGCTGGTCGAATCTATCAGATTTTTGATTGATGCAATCAGATTTCTTTTCCGTGTAGTATATGGAAAAAATGTATATACACCGTAAGAGACTCCGATATATGCACGTTGCATACGTATGATAACAAGAGTACGGTCGTGGTCAGAAAGGTTGACCGACTTTGTACAATGAATTTTTGAAATATTCGTTTGTATCATTCCATTGGACATTCGTACATATCATTCCTTTGCTCTAATAATGCGTCACTGCACATATCCGTGAGCAGAGGCTATAATCTCTCGTATGGTAGGCTGCATTTTCGAAATTTATCATAAAACGTCGGACAACCTTTCTGGCCACGATTGTACTAATAGAATGTATGTATATCTACGTGCCATATAAGAACTGTAGGATATATGAAGTTCTGTATTGATTTGAGCGTGAACAAATTGTATACCTATGTTTGCTACTTGGAATGCATTCTTGTTGATTTTTTCTGTTCTGGGTGTTAACAACAGGCCCCTCGTGTGCTTGGTGGCAGAGATATTCCTTTTTATCGCTTTGATTGAGATTTCAAACGCTTTTTGAATTGTCTCGTCACTGTCGAATAAACCACCTGCAATCATACAATTCCGTCGATACGCTGAATTGGTTATCGATATTCTGCCCTTATCCGCACGCGTTATGAGAAATACGGCGAGCTTACCGATCGGTATCTTCCTCGGCAACCCCGAAATATGGGGCATAAATGCAACAGTGACGTATAGAAGTAGCATTTCTCGGCCATTCTAAAAGAGGATCGTTCTAATAGCAGCGCGACTAGTAGGTAAATGCTACAAAGTAGGCGCATTACGGAGCTTCCCTACGGAGCTTTGAAAGCAAACATTTAATTATGAGAACTGTTTATTAAGATGTATTGAAATTAAATTTACTTTTGTTTGTTATTGCCATTGCATTAGTGCTATTGCGTCGCCATTCTAAATGATCTAAACATTTAAACGCTCTAATCCGATAGACGCACACACATACACACAGCCAGTGTGGTATATTTAGACACTTTTCGCCTCGCGGTGCCTACGTTTCCCGCAACAGCTTCTCTCAATCTATCTGCTAAACACAACTGTCGAATGGTTCACTGACGCTCTCCGAGAGCTGTCAGCAGCACGTACGAATTTGTTTTTTGTGTACAAGTTTCAAAATTTAGAATATAGACGCTTTATGTTAATATAATGGGCATTTTATCCCAATAACCGAAATAAAACGTTCGAGAAGCATCGTAAGTTGTTCAAATATTAATCTACAAAGGTTTACTAAATATACGATTAAAACACCTTTCTCTTAACTTCCATTTAGCAGTCCAGCAAGATCCTATGTTATTTGGAAGAATAATTTACGTGGATCTATAAATATTATTTCTTTCTGTAATCTCTGAAATCTACAAGATCTCTTGTTGAATAAAAATTTTTACGCATAGTGTTAACTAATGCGTAACTAAGGGGAAGAAAGTTAATGTACAGTGTACCATCGCAAACGTAAATTTGCTTTTACAAAATTTTAATATTGTAAACATTTTCCTTTTTACTCAAATTTGATCTTGTTCAATGAATGTATTATTATATAGCATGTTCCAATGTTTCTGGGAAGGTGCACTTGATGTTTTTGACATTTTAACGACATTTTAACACTTCAGTCTCGTTATAACAAAGTAGTTAGACGTGACACGAATCTATTTATCGTTCGCGCGGCTCGTTGCCAAAATTCGGACGGCACAGAAAAGTGCATTAAATTTTCCTTTAACACGAGGAAACAAACCATTTTTGGATTATAGAGCAATGTTACGTGGTTAAGGGCTTCAGATATTCACGCGGCAGTTTCTCTCACGCGATTTTTTACAAGCATCGCCCGCCCATGTCTACGTAAAGGAAAGACACTCGTGTTATTTTCATTTATTTTTCAAGTTCTGACTTGTTGATTAACGGCATAAAATCACTCGCGCGATTAGTTGTACTTATGGCAAGTAATTGGAACACTGAAATGAAAATACTTGACGTGAAGAAAATTCGCCGTATCACCGAACTTAAATATACCGCGAGCTACTCGGCACTATCGGAACTAGTGACTATACCATTCCATGGTTACCAGTTGACTATTTCAACCACATGCAAGAGCCTGAAAAGTAGGTAATTGGATCGTACACTCGCATATGTGCTCTTCTTTTGCGCATGATCATTCTGACTATTCTCACTTAGGAAGATCATCTATTATTATTAATTTTCAGGAAATTATCTTTTATAATTGCCATTCTAGATTACAAGAATTTTATGTGATCGACAATTAGAGTGTTTGTACTTAGAGTTCACGTTATTCATTTTTGACGGGTAGAAATTTTCTAAATCTAGATTTGCACTAAATTTAAAAAATGCAATAATATCTGATATAATAATTTTTAGTTGTTTTATTAGTTTTTATACTCCATTTCACTTATAATCCTTTTCTTTCTTCTAAGTTAGGTTAAATCTGGCTCTTTAATTGTTTCACATAATTTTGTTGACATAATTGTAATAAGTATGAGAACATAAAATTATGAAAGAGGATTAATTTTTCTAGTAATGTTAACTATGATTTATGTGCTTGCTATTAGATATTTATCTCAATTTTTCTATTGCTTTTATTATCAAATGTGTGGTAAGCATGAAATAATTTAAAGTAAATTTGTTGAAAATTGTATTACATATTATACATTTCTTGTAATTCTTTCGTTTAGCACACGAGTACCTACTCTAAACTGTTTTCGAGGCAGTCTAGGTTAATTTAACGATTCAATTCAACATTTGGAAACATTGTGAATTACAAAGTAGTAAATCTGTGCGAACAATAGTCGTTTTACTGTTTAAGATTTATTCCATTGTTATTTGTTGTCAGTTGGTGACGTTCTTATTACTGTTGGTATAAAGCCATACGGAGGAGTACATTCTCTTGTACTGTCATTTCCATTTTTGCTGGACGATCCATTTCTTCTTTGTATCGGTTTAGAGCCGCTGCATTTCACGATGAATTTCAGTTCGGTTATCAATTCCTCCTTAAACGGCACCTATAAAAGTAAACGTATGATATACTTGATAAATGTAGAAAAATAAACCCATAGATACACATTCTTAAATGTTCCACAGAGCTTTTCTGATTCGCTAATTATTTGTAAGTGATTGTTATTTAGAATTTCTTTAAAAGATCAAAGTTATTAAATTAACAATATTGTTTAAGATTATCATTTAAGACACAAGATATCACTCGATATCCTGAATATCAATTTAAATTATCATATATAATTTTTTTAAAAAAATAGAGTTAAATAAGGCCATTATGATATAAATCAGAAAAACGAGAGCGCCTTTATAGGCTCGAGCAAGATGTACAATAGGTAGCCCAATAATTGTGATCGAATATGTGAATAATTCTTTAAATTAATTTTGATTATTCTATCGGTCTCTGTGTTGAAGCCGTATTGGTTTTCGGGAAATTCGGTATGTTTTGAGGGAAAACAGTGCGATTGCATTATAAATAATAGTTAGCTTACATTTTCTCGAATGGATGTTCGGGCAACATCCCAAAGTAATTCGAATATAGTGTACACACAGGATAAGGCCACGCCGTAGGTTAGTACTAAGAATACACCTCCAACATTGTCGAGATCAAGTGCCTGCGGTGAACTGCTCCCGCCGTTTTCCTAAACAGCGATGAGTTACAAGCAAATTAGATAGACATGATGTGCAATATACATTTTATAATAGCCAAATAACTCCACTCACCCGACATCTACCTCCGCCTCGTTTTTGCGTCCACCACTTCTTCTTTATCTCCTGTATTATTCCACCTTCGGATAATTTTAAGACCGCTGTGTTAATACTGTGTAGATATGGCGAGTCTAGAACAATATTCCATATGATAACTCATTTATCCTCTATACAAGTGTACGGTATATGACAGAACTGGATTTCTTAATTATTGTAAAGGTAAATTTTATTAGTAAAGGTGATTTTGCATCACATATAATATTTTCCTTTAGAATCGTGTAACACTTAAATTAATAAGTTTATAATTAAGTGCAGTCTTTAATCTCGTGAGTCTGAAGTGGAAATGAACTCGGGTATATTTGATTAATAAATTATCTTTTACATTGGCACAATATTCTGTTGATCAGATTTAAACCCATTTTTTCTTTTAGTTATTAAAATATATATTATTGATAGTATAATACAATATGTATTGTTGCAAATATATGTACACGTAATAAATCTTTGTAAAATTTTGTTCAGTTTTTCAAATTGCAATTTTGTAACATTTAACAACATCGAGGTTTATTAAATACTATTAAGATAATTGTGTGTGTGTGCGTATGTAAAATACCAATTTTTAGGGATTAAAACTAAGAAAATATAAAATATATGGTCATGCTTTATTATTACACATGGATTGTTTTGATAGCTTACCTTTTTTCATCGCAATTCCATAACCCTTTTCGTCTAGTAATCCTCCGATTTGTGTGACATCACAATATCGCTCTATCTCATATCTAAATATAATATATACATTGTATAATAATAATAAAATAAATAATAAGTACAAAGCATATATGCATAGATAGTAAATAATACTCGATAGAAGCAGATTCCATGAGAAAAGCGTATTCTTCGTCTATAGCTTTGTGTAGTCCTGCTTTATTATCAGGTACCAGCACGTCCTTTTTATTTGCAATCATATTTTCGTACATTTCCAGGTACGTTGGATGACTGCTATCCTTGGAATTGACAAAATTCTTTCAAAGAGTCGAATTAGAATGCTTTCAGCATTTGTCATGCTTATTTTTCAATACTATGCATTTATAAATACTAGTAAATGATTTCTCTCCTAGTAATATTTAGATACATATTAATACGATAATATTGTATCGAAAAATTATTATTTTAAAATTACTTTGTGTTATTTAATAGGAATAATTATAACAAACCAATAAACAAAAAGGAAACAACTATTCATAGAATTAAAGTTAGCTTTCTAAAGGAAAATTACATTATACATTAATTTTATATTAAATAGGCAGTTGTTTGTCAATGCTCTTTACAGTGTAACATGTTTCAAACTGACCTTTTTATTATATTATCAATATTTCGATAAATTCAAAAAAATTGACGTACTTTGAAGAAAGAAATTGTGGATCCTGATTCCTTCGCGCCGTATTTTATGGGTCTTTTTCTTGCTATCTTTGCTAATTCTTCAACATTGTCGAAAGGCTTTGATGTAGTTTCTACCGTTAGAAATGCCGCCAAGTTAGCTGTATAACTTGACACCATAATTAGACAGAAGAACCACCAGCAGCTAGCAATCATTCTTGTTGATATGCCTCTGTAAATAATTCAAATTTTAATTCTGTTTCATTGACTTTTAACTGTACAATAATAACTACCATATTAATTTTTATAACATATAACATTTTTTATCTAAATCATATAAAATTGTTAAAAACTTACAAGTATATTGATAAAAATGAAATGGCTTTAAAGTGTGAAATTAGCTAAAGTAGAAGGTAATCGATTAGAAAACCGTAGTACAGGGTGTCCTATAGAAAGTTACTGAAATTAATTAGCTGTCAGTTTCGAACGACACGCAGTTATTAAGAAAACAAAACTTATGTTGAAAAAGAAAAGTCTGCAGGTTTTAACAAGTATGAATAAAATTTAACAAAATATTTGCCAGTTTATTTGAAGAAAAATCAAATTGATGTAAAATATACCAATAATCAAAATATAATCAAATCAATTCAACAACTTCCCACGGGACACCCTGTATAATATCTAAAGAAAAAAAGTCTTATTTTACATTGTTTTGTATTTTTAAATCTACAAATTTACACTTTTGGTAATTTACTCAACATACTGTAATTAATGTAACAACAATATTTTATATTTTATAATATTGAAGCAAAATTTGGCATATTGAATCGCCAGTGATTAATTATTATAACAATTAGGTTGAATAATCCGACATAACTGGCTACAGGAATATGGTCTTTGCAGTGACATGCCTAACGTACGTATTTAATTTAATGATTTAATTTACTTCCTTTCTAAATCATACTGATGTATTTTGCATGCAAGTAATTACGCTGACGTTCCCATTTCTGTTCAGTGGGCCTAATGGCATTCGACCACATGCCATACGCCGACTAAAAGCTGTAGAATACACTTGATAAGGGCCGAAACCCATGGTCGAAACGTTGTGTTATAATCATAGACATAATACATGTATATCTAGCTCGAGCATTGAGCAGTGGGGATTCACGTAGAAAAAGGACAAACCTTGTTTTGTGCTATAATATTTCGTTCTTTCTCGTTTGCATGCGAACAAGAGAGAACGATATAGCACAAAACAAAGCTTATCCTTTTCTACGCGAACCTGTATCCCCACTGCTCAAATAACGGCAAACGCTCGGTCTAGATATATTATGTCTATTGTTATAATAAAGGAAGTTTTCTGTAGCCAGTTGTGTCGGATTATTCAACCTAATTGTTTAAAATATTGAGAAATAACTTACATGGGTGCGATCTCACTTCCCTGCTGCATTATGCTCCCTATAGCGAACCAAAATGCATTTTTAAACGTAAATTGGTTCTCAAGAAATTCGGCTTCCTCAATACAAGGATAAGGATTATTCCATTCGGCTGGGCACAACCTCCCGACGACGAAGAGTAATAACGATACTAATATGTAAGCACCAATCAAATAGTACCACACGGCATGCGAAAATGGCCATAGAAAGGAGTACGGATTCGGTGGTGCTTTCGTTGGCTTTCTGTATAATATGCTAATACCTGTAAAATCGCAATTGTTTAATATTTGAATTGTACGGTGAATTAGAACGGTTTTACGTACTGATAACAGAATCAAATTCATTTAGGTTATTTATGACGGCATTCAATTATTATATCAATTTTTCATTTACCTAAATTCATAATGGGGTTTGTAAAGTCGACGTATTCTTGCCTCGACGATGTGATGGTGAGGTCTGTAATGGCCAGGTCAGCTTCCTAAAAAAAAAGTGTTACATCCTTAATTTATGAATTTACATACATTACATTACCTTAATTTATGAATTCCATTATATTGATACAAATCTGTCTTTTTGTTTTTATTCTATTACTTGATTATATTTCTCGACGTTCAATACTAACATCAGCTATGATTTTCCCAAGCATTCCAGTCCATTTATTTGTTCTTTTGTTCAACGATCCATAATCGGATTCCACTTGCAAAGTGTAATTAAATTCAAGGATTTGACTGATTTCTTGTATTATGTCAACTGCAAATCCTTCGTACCTCTCGTTACCGTATAACGTCACCATCGATTCTTTTTGCATGCCATAAGGCTCTGTAAGAGAGTAAATGTGTATATAGTATAACGGCAACCGCTCAGTTTTCTTTGTAACTATCATATTTTGTTCATTTTGCCCTAAATAAGTTTCTGAGAAGGAAAATCGTCGCTCATGTTCCGTTTATTTTTAATTAATTTTGAAAATATCTCAATTGTTGGTAAGTAAATTAATGATAATTTATAAATATGTCGTCCGTTTTATATTAATGTGTATAAACAATATTTTTTCGTCTTACTTGAATTACATCATATTATTTATACATACATGTATGATGATTTCAGGTAAACGATTAAAGAATAGCATTTTTATATTTATTGTTAAAGCAAAGCATAGTTGATATATTGAAAAGCATGTGTACGCACGCGTGCGTACGCGTGTATGTAGACATACCTGTGAGTGATATTAAAACAACAAATGTTTTATTTTGTATGTTGAGCTTAATGTCTGACTTTGGGGGTTTGATTTCTTCCCAATCAATGTTTTCCCGTGCTGTACTATTCCATTTACCGATTCTTTTTAGACCTTCTTCCGTCAAACGCACAATATCCAATTCTATGTTACTGCGGAAACCATCCCTGTCAAATTTGACGAGGCCTGTCAAGCCCCTCGTTTCAGTCTAAAAGGGAAACAGCACAAGATAAGACGTATTCGTCACGCTTAATATTACAATAATTAAGCAGGGCAACAAATTCGATGCTTTTTATTTATTAATATTCTTGAGAAACTGGAATTGATGCCAAATAAATTTATGTGTAACGTAGTTAAATTAAAACAGTTGATATGTTACGTCTGAAATTTAAATTAAAGCATTTTTCACATCTTACCGATCGCATAAAATTGCTTAAACTCAGTCCATGTTCCCACCTGTCGCTACCATCGCACGGCAATTTCTTGACATCACCCTTTGTAGCATCCTTTAATTGCTTGAAAGCTCTCGCAAACAATTGGACCGCGTCGTACATGAGCGCGGGTTCAACTCGTAGCTGCGAAGGATTGTCTAGGCCCCATTCGTTCTTATGTCTGTCTAAGGTTTGTATCACTATCTGATCTTCAGGGTTAATCAAGCGCACGCCCGTGAAATTGACGCCAGAGTATTGATAGGGCTCTAAATCCAGGGTTTGCAGATCCTGCCATGTATGCATATCCATTGGTATTATGTTTAATCGTTACACCCAGTTAGAAGTTTGTTTCAAATCAAACAAAATCATTTATATCAAAACTTAGACGTTCTTTAAATTGGTTATTATCTTACGTTAAATATTAGCAACAGAATACAGCACAACTTTTGTACTTTTCACAGAGATTTTGCAAAAACATAGTTCACATATTTCAAATATAGAATTCTATGGCAAGATAATTTTAGCAGTTATTGTTCTATATTTTATTTTTAACGTGTAAGAAAGCGCATTTACTTACTAGGGACGTTACAATCACTTTATATTTGTCGGATAAAATACCAACTTGTTGGGCCTGCTTCAAAACCTCTTCGAGAATCTCGTATGAACAGTCGATGATGACGTTCTCTATTTGCGATGCCTTGATTTCTTGCATCCCGCGCCTATACAAGAATCGAGATGCCAAGCTGTATAATAAACTAACCTTCTTTTGTGAAAATTTTCTCAATTAACACTAAATTCACCGAACTTTCGAGTCCCACTTAATTATTTTCGGCAACGACGTAATTTTTATATCGAAAGCTGTCTAGTTGTCTCTTTGAAAAAAATGTCTAAAAGACACACTTTGAACACTCGAGAAATATTATTATATCATAATGTATTTCATAATATATTAAAATGTAGAAATAAGCAAACAATGAGCATATTTTATATGTTTATAAAATTATTGGTGTCGACAGATACATGTATCTGCATATATAAGTATGCAAAATCAACTAATTATGACATAATATTTCCAAGTAAGAAGATAACCAATTTTCTCACGATTGTGGGATGGAAAAGTCTTCAAGATACTTATACTTTTATATCGCGAAATTAGATGTTTCTTATTATGTACCTATAATTGGG